GGGTTGTCAAATCCTCAGTTAGCCAGCAATACAAACTGACATGATCTACAGCTCTCCCAGAGACTCTCTATGTTTCTGTCATCAAACACCATTTGAGTTTCAAGGGTGTCCAGTACATTTAAAAATAAGGCCAATAATTTCAGAGCTCAGACAGGTTTCAAATAGCCTAAAATTAGCATCCTCTTTTGAAAACATCGGTATCTCATTATAAGTTATTTGCTTTAATAACAACCAAATTGCTAAGCCCAAGGATCCCGCTATCCTACTAGTTTGTTTTTAGCAGTTACTACTACTGCTTATGGAAAAACGCAAGAGCCAGGTATCATACTCATAGCTCTCACAGATATGTGATGTGCTAACTAAATGTGATGGACTAACCAAAATACACAGTGATTGGTCTACATTTTTTTAACATGCAAGCATCAGTTTTCAATGTTCAACACAAAAAGTAGCAATCCTAAATTATGTGTTAATTAAAAAATATTAAAATAAAAATATGTTAATTTGCTGCCAGCAAAAAAGAAAGAATCTTGAGGTCCATTGTCTCTAAAAAAGTCATCCAACCCAAAGAAAATAAAGGTCCACAAGTCTCAAAGGAGTAAAATAAGCATCAATGAATTTGCCATGAAAAAGTAGAAAAATGGTAAGCAGTTTCTAAAGCCCTAGAAATGCAAAAGAGCATGGCCGTGAAAGGCCCTCCATGGTTAGCAAGGAAGCAATAATGACATCCAAGGAAAGAGAATAATCATACAACTAAACAATGCAAGAGGGTCAAGACTCAAACACAAGCTCAGGTGGCAAAAATATTGAAGCCTATATATGGAAGACTGCGCTTCCTGAAGGAATGAAGAAAAACAAGGAATTTAGAACCTCTATAGGTTCTGGCAAAATGAAAGGAAATTAAGGAGTTGAAGACTTTGAAATACTGGGCTTTCAAATGGGATCAATAAAACTGGATTGGGAATGAACTGATCTGAAGAGACTGAACACACCCAGGGAACACACCCTGTTTGTCATTTGAATTCTTTTAGCAAGTTTTGTTCAGTTGAGTAACTCTACTGGCTCACATTTGCAACTGTGAAATAACCATGGTATTTAGGTACCAGAAAAGCCTACACTCAATTCCTAAGGGTCATCACTAACACCACCAAAACTGAAGGACTACTTTTAATCTCCTGCTATCAGCCTGTTAGTACTCAGAACATTCAACTAATATTCGTCTTTTGGTGTAATACAAGGTCAGGTATCTTAAAAGAGGAGTGGCCAGCAAGGACAGGGAGGTGATTGTCCCCTCTCTATTCAGCTCCTGTGAGGACCCACTGGAATATTGCATCCAGGCCTAGGGCACAAAAAAGATATGCAGCTCTTGGAATGGGACCAGAGGAGGGTTCTTAGATGATCAGAGGGCTGGAGCACTTCTCCTATGAAGAAAGGTTGAGGGAACTGGGCTTGCTTAGCTTGGGAAGAGAAGGCTCCAGGGAGACCTCCTTGTGGCCTTCCAGACTTGAAGGGAGCATATAAGCAGGAGGTAGTACAACTGTTTACAGGGGTGAATTGTGATAGGACAAGGGGGAATGGTTTTAAACTAAGGGGAGGTTTAGGTTGAGTATTAGGAGGAAGTTTTTCACAGAGGGTGGTGACACACTGGAACAGGTTGCTCAAGGAGAGACTGTAGATGCCCCATCTCTGGAGGCATTCAAGGCCAGGCTGGATGTGGCTCTGGGCAGCCTGGTCTGGTGGCTGGCTATCCTGCACACATTAGGGGACTTGAAACTAGATGATCATTGCGGTCCTTTTCAACTCAGGCCATTCTGTGATTCTATGATCTTTTCCCTGCACAATCCAATTAGGAGCACTATAATCTTTGCAGCCTCATATGTTTCCTACTCCTTTTTCCTCCAATTCTCTACCCTGTAAAAATGAGAGAACTTAAAATCAGAAATAAGAAATGCTGTTAGGCATTTGTACCCTTCTCAGAGTTCTGCAAAAAAGCACTGAGTTTCTAGATTTTAAGCTGTTTAAATTTGATCCACAATGCTTTTTTTTTTTTTTCTTTATTTTTAATGTAGAGTTTAACATACCAACAAAGCTATCTGGATCACATTCTTCTTCTACTAGCAGGAAATTTCTGGGAAGCTATACACAGTCACTTGAACTAAAATATCATGATATCAAGAAGGTATGCAAAATTAAGTTTTCCAACTTCAAAGGTATGCAGGAAGCAAGAAATAATGATGGCAATTATTATATGCAATCAAGATTTTGTTTCCACACAAAAATTAAAGGCAAATTTTATAAGACAGGAAGAGATGTAAAGAAAACATAAGTAAAATGTACATGCTTTCAAGCAGAATTTTTTCCCATAAAGTCAGACTTCAAGGGAAATGCAACTGACTCACAGTAGCAGCTGCTAGAATAGACAGCTTAAAACACCTAATTAGGTCACTCCATGCAAGAACTATCATCCTTTTAAACCACTATAAAATGCTGAGGAAACACCCCCCTAAGAAAAGGAAAGCATTTGGGAATATAAAGACACAGTAAGTATCAGCCAATGAGGAATAAAGGAAGTGCTAAATGCTCTAAAGCCCTGATACTTAAGGTGAGACTAAAATTTATGACTGTTGCCTTTCCTAGCAGACAGGAATACAATTAGAATTCTCAAAATGATAGTCCCTTTGTGCTGGCATGCTGTGTTATGTTATACTGCTAGAGACAGAACTGAAGATAAAAAGGTACCCTTTCTAACCCAAGGAAACAGCAAACTTTTTCTTTTTTTTTTTTTTTTTTTCTTCTTTTTTTTTTTTTTAATAATGTGGGTTTGGGCATTGTTTTACACACAACTTATGTCTTAAATGAAGCCATGTATGTAGTTATCATTGCATGAGCAGGAATAACCATGTAAGTAGCTGCTTTATGCAAAGAATCTCCAAAAAAAGTATATCACATGAAACAAGAACAAGCGAGCTCTTATGAGTCACATACCCTTTGCTGTCCAAACAGCTTGACATTTAAATAACTTAAATTATTATTTTATTTCGATTTAAAAAAATTTGAACGTGCTTGGCTTGATGAACTGATGAATGAAAAGCATCAGGAAGTATGCATGCTCCTTCTTTCACCCTTTACTTACATTCAGTGATAGGGATCATTTGGAATGAACAGTCATTAGAGGAAGCATAAGGAAATATACACAGAGGTTTTCTCATCTCCTCCACAAAGAAAGCATTATTACAAATTCCAAATACACAGTCCGGATTCAGATAACCACAGATGCTTTTCCAACAGAACACCCTCCAGGCATCCTTTCCCCACAAATTCTGGGAAAGGTACATGCAGGGGAAGCACTGCCATCTTCCCAAAGAGCAGAAACATACCAAGAACAGAATCCTGAAGATTGTTCCTTCTCAATATCATCATTTTGGCCTGCACATCTCTCACTCCTTTCACTTTCTTTTTTTTTTTCCTTTTTCTGTGTGTACTTCCTGTGTCCCTCATGGTTCCACAGATCATTGCTCTTGTCATACAGTTAAGTGAAATGTGCAGTCTTTTTCTCACTCACAGAAATGATTGGAAAGGACACACGTCAACCTTTGCGAACCACATCTTTGAAGTCAGAAGAAATTACTAAGCAGCTCCCTCAACTTCATACAGCTTCGAGAACATGGTACTCAACATCACATCTACCTCCAAATCAAATATAATCTGTGGTAAGTGACCAAAGCAACAATGAGTCTGTTTCATGCTTTAATTTATGAGTCTACTAAGCAAAAACCTATCATGGAAAACTCAGTGACATATTCAAATTATCTACAAATATGAGTCTGATGTGAAAAAGAAGAGCATCACTGAATGTTGGATTCTTAAATTTCATAGTCATTAAAAAACTAAACCTACAACAAAAACTATACAATACTATTACATGACAGCATTATTTTTTTTTTTTAATCCCTGAGGATGATTGCAAGATGAAAGCTGAATACAGAAATCTACAGAAAGGAAAATCAAAACATCTAGCATGAAACAGAAATTTTCACATTTGATTAGTTGTACAATTTATCAGACTCCATATTGTCAGACGGCCCCTCTACTGCCATCTGTCACATGGCAATAAAATGTAATGGAATAGTGGTGGAATGGTTCAACCTCTACTGCCATATGACCAACTTCTGCCAGAACGGTGTGGGCCAATGTAGGATAAAATAGGATGCCTTACTTTTGGAGCAGTCCTTGTATTTCTCCTTCCAGCCTTCAGCTGTGTATGTTTTACTCTCTATATATATGCCTTCTAGTCTAGTTTTGGTACTAGGAAACAGTAATTCAAATAGCATTTTGTTCTCTGCTATTAGCAAATGCTATCTGATAAGCAACTTAAATATTTTTTAGAAAATTAAAAAATAAATGGGAAATTTTAATTGCTAGATGTTGCTGTACTAGTACTAGAGCAAAAATCCTTCTGTTATTGCACAACTGGAAATTGTACTGTCAAAATAATAATATTTAATTAAGCTTATTATTTTCCAAAATTACATGAATACTGAAAGTTTGCTTTCCTCAGCTTCCAAAGCCCACTGTTTGACTAGAAAATCTTAAACCAAAAAAGACTTATAAATAAACTACTTATCTGAATTTTAACATGTTCTCTCAGGACATAATGACAAAGTCATCAACAACAACAACAAAAAAATGAAATTATATTAGCATCAAGTACTGCAATTAATAGAATTTTTAAAAACTTCAGTTTTGCAAAGCAGAAATTCAGACACATGTCTTAGAACTTATATTTTACTTCCCAAGTCCTTATAACACTGAAATTAAAGATCTCAGCACAAAGTATGCAAGTAAATCTACTAAGGAAAACCCAGCTAGCAACAACTAGCATTTTAAAATTGATTTAATAAAACAGTTTTATATTACAGCGATTTTACTCTATTAATTAGCTGATAAAAAGGAGTCTAACAAAATACAGAATGAGGTAAGATAGTAAAAGCATTCTTTACCTAGCCATTCCCAGGCTGGAAAAGTTTGAAGGAACTATCAAAACATCAAGCCTGGAAAAGGGATGGGTGCCCAGTGTGGAGTAAGCAGCTGAGAGGCACTGAGGAATAAGCTGAAGTAAATGTTCTTCACAGCGTTCCATGAGGCACAAGGGAGCAAAGACTCTATAGGGAATGACTCTTTGCAATGTGGCAGCAGGATTTTGGAAACGGCAGGGATATTCCACATGACCACAGCTTTCTTTATGCCATCTGACAGTAACAACAAAAAAATAGTTTAATGTGATACAGAAATCACAATGGAATATACTAACATAAAGACATTTTCCAGACACCAGAATGATACAATTAGTTCACATACATCTATCTCATTTCATCTTCTCATACCATTCACCCATGTTTGGCACTGTGAAAAAAGAATCAATATTATTACACATCTGAATAGAGCAAATAGAGTTACTTATAACTCAAAAAGAAGAAATAGCCAAACCTTTCTTTTATAATAAACATGAATAAAAAAACTTAAAAACTAAATAATGATACAAGAATGCTTCTTTATTCAGAGCATTTCTACTTAAATGATGATCCAAAAATCTTTTTACTCCCTTATTACATGCAACTACAATTAAATTCCATTTTTTTTCTGTTGTTTTTTTTAGTTAAAAAAAAAAATGTCCATGAGTTTTTACTGTTTTTGGGTTTTTTTCTTAAATGAAAAAAAAAGTAGGTATCATTTCAGTCTGATCAACACAGATATCACTATTAGTAGCAAGACAATACTAAGTTACTCTTACAGAATATTCAAAGCTGTGGCTAGAAAGATGAATAAATGTGATCCTTTCTAAATCTGAGTCATACACCTTTATCTGTCCAAATAGATTTGTATCTGAGCAAAGATCAGCTTCATGTTTTCACCTGTTAACTTGCCTTCTCTACAGGGCAGAGCCTCTCCTGGTATCAGATTTCAGCTTCAAGAGGCTGGTTCTACTATGCTTTGACAGACAAAACACTTACTGCACCAAGCATCACCCAAAAGCATTTATATTTGTAAGAGTGTAAAAGTAAAAATTCACTCCAGGTAAGTGCTGATACACAAAAACAAATGACAAGATGTAGAAAAGAGCTATGCTTCTCAGAAGTGCCAAAATTTGTAAGTGTCAAACAAACACCTTGTGTAAAAGAAGCAGATTTTTATTACAGAAGCAGAAAAACTCTACCATTAAACACTTCCTTTTTTCCCGAGAGTTGTCTAAACCACAATATTTTTGCTCTAAAAGAATATAAATTTGTATTTAATTGTCAGAGTTGAGATTAAACAGGAACATAAAAGCCATCAGCTCAATTCTCTTAACATTTGCCAATTAGTCATTATGGAGATAGGAAACTTATTTTACATTCTAGCTGCATTTACTATTTTGATGTAGTCTTCTCATACCTCGCTGGTGTCTGAACATAAATTATATTACATATTTAAGTAATTCCTTTTGGAGATCCTTTTTCCTGCTGCTCAAGAATCTATACCCTTTATCATTCCTGAGACACTACTTTAATATCTGCTTGATATCGATTTCATATCCTTTCTAGAAACCTCTGCTACTGGTTTGGTTACTTAGTCTTACTGATTTAAATAAACAGTGAGCAATTGCTGTGCTAACTCCCAAATGTGCTTTTTTAAAAAATCTTTTCGGGTTAGTTTTTCTTCTAAAGCTCACCTGTTGCAGATTTCAATTTATTCAACAAAAACAAATGAGAACAATGAACATCACACTGATTAGAACTTGCTGTATTTTTTGCTACAGAAAGATAAAGAAAATCCCATTTTCCCAAAGTTTTCAAAAAATAAAAATTAAACAAACTGTCTGATTAATATCCTGCATCAAATCCATCACTGAATATCCTGCACGTTAGAGAAACATGGTTAACAGTTACTGAGTACTTCTGTATAGACAGTCATATAACAAACAAACAGTAGAGAAATAAACAGAAAATAATTTCTAAAAGCTTATGTATGTATAAACTGCTTTAAAGCTTGAATAGGCGTCTGTTACTGACGTTAAACAAAACATAAAATTTCCTATTCCCAAGATTTATTAGGATTTTTTAAAAACAAAATTAGCCAAGCTGCAAGAGATCAGAGTCCTTTAATTTTAAATTTTAGCAATTACGTCCTCAGTTTCCAAATCCTCACAAACTCATACCAAAATGCTAAGGACTTCCACAATCTTAATGCTAACACAGTATTAGTCCTAAAACTTATGAGTAAGGTTTTTTGGGTTTTTTTGTTTGTTTGTTTTTTAAGCTATGTCTGAGACTTCTGTTAACTAGGGTGAATACATGTGGAATCAAGCTTTACTGCTCCAGAAAATTAATTTTTGACTTCAGTTGTCATTGGAAGGACTATATGACATTATAATATTCATTCACAGGGATCTCCAAGAACGAGTCCAGGGGAGGGCCACAGAGATGATAAAGGGCCTGGAGCATCTCCCTTTTGAGGAAAGGCTGAGTAATTTGGGTCTCTTCAGTCTGGGAAAAAGAAGACTGAGGGAAGATCTCACTAATGTTTACAAATATCTAAATGGACAGACAACCCTGTAATAATTTAAATGCAGTGAATCTTTTTGACTAGATTGAAAAGAGAGATAAATGTATCCAAAATAATTACATTTCTACAGACTTTGTGAAAGATAACAAAGTAGCCACTGCATGTACTGGACAACAGGCTATTTTTCATTGAACGTATGAACGTCCAAAATTCTTTCACAGAACCACTGCAACATTACACACCAATCCAGGCAAACAACTGTGCACGTCAGCTCTAACTGCAATGGGACTGTAAAAGAAAGGAGAAGTAGGGGCTTGCATTTGCTAAGAACTACAGCACTAGTGGGCACTAGATATCCAGGATGTGCCAAGCAGCACTGAGGATTATACAGGAAGAGACTGTAATAAAAAATGGAGAATCTGCTAGTCTTGCAGCAGAGCATTAAACACCACAGGATGTAAGATGCAAATCCAGAGAATGCTAGGATTAGTGCTATTGCTCATGAAACAGTTTGTTTTTACATAAAAAGAACCACACCCTTACCCATTAAAAAAAGCCTTGGGAATTATTTCCCTGCCACAATTTTTCTAGTAAGATGAAAAATTCTGTTTTTATTCCTGTACTGAAGTGGCTTATTTTCACCTTCCATGGAGAAAATGTCACTGTGGAATAAAATGTCGCTTTTCAACAATAGTCCAAACACCAACCTGAAATCATCTTGTGAAAATGGCATGGAAAACTCATCTTCTGTCTGGATATCAGCCGTGAAGCACTGCTGTTTGACTTCCTGCCAGCAGCCTACAGCAATAGTGAAGGTGGATGCTGGCATTGGCATAGTTACATAGTAGTACCAGCTCGTGATACCTGTGAATAAAAGGAACATTTGTGCAGATTCATCAGTCAACACATCATATTTTTGTGCACCTGAGATTTTGGGTCATATCTCTCACGTTATGTCCTTGTATTTTTGTTGAAGAAGAGAAAAAAAAACACTGAGACATGTAAGAGCAGTTATGTGACCACCATGGATTCAATATCATTTACTTGTATCTGTACTCAGCACTGGTGAGGCTGCATCTTGAGTGCTGTGCTCAGTTTTAGGTCCCTCACTGCAAGAAAGACATTGACTTCCTAGAGAGTGTCCAGAGAAGGGCAACAAAACTGGTGAGGGGTCTGGAGCACAGGTCTTATGAGGAGCAGCTGAGGGAGCTGGGATTGTTCAGTCTGGAGAAGAGGAGGCTCAGGGGAGACCTCATTGCTCTCTGTAACTACATGAAGGGAGGTTGTAGCTGGGGGTCGATCTCTTCTCCCATGTAAATAGTGACAGAACTAGAGGGAATGGCCTCAAGTTGCACCAGGGGAAATTCAGACTGGATGTTATGAAATACTACTTTTCCAAAAGAGTTATTGGGCACTGGAATGGGCTGCCCAGGGTGGTGATGGAGTCACTGATCCTGGAGGCGTTCAAGGAATGTTTAGACATGTTGAGGGACATGGCTTAGTGAGAACAATGGGTGATAGGTAGATGGTTGTACTGGATGATCTTGACTGATCACTTAATCTTAGTGATTCTTTGATGTGATGATTCTATACTTAAGACCTTAACATTCCTCTATGTGCTGATATCTTCAGCTGTAAAAAAATCTATACTTACTGAGATGTTATTGATGCAAGGATAACAGCATTACTGCCCAATAATTGTATCAGATGTGAAATCTAATGGCAACCATAATGACACAAAAGATTAACATTTAATTCTGTCAACCGTGGATCACTTCCTTACACTTTTGTCTTGTCTATATGACATTACAAAGATTACAAACCCTTTTCTTTGTGTTCTGGACAGTACCAAACTGACAGAAAAGTTTTAACAACACTAGTACTTATGGATCAGACTTGGCAATCTGAGATATAGAAATGACAAGCAGGGAGTTAGAAATTAATCAGATAGAATATTGCCAAAGTCAATTTTCAGGTCATGATAATCCAGAAGCTGCTATAACAGGATTAGAAAATCCAATAGAAGGTAAGAAGATGAGACTTAATAGTATACAGTGATGGAAGACAGAGAGTATCTTATATACTGACTACATATGCAAACACGTGTGAACAAACTTCAAGATATTTTGGGGCAGCCTACCTTTCATTAATCTAAACACTGCTTAGGTTTACATCTGCCTCTCTAAAAAGAGAACAGCATAAGGGTCACATTTAAGTACCCATCTGTGGGCAGAAGTACTGTTGATACACTGTATTAATAGGTTAATTACTCTTGGAAAGAGCCTCGCCTACAGAATCGTGTGCAATTACGTGTAGCCATGGAAACTGTGGAAACAAACAAACTTCATTTATTTTAAGAAAACATTAATACTTGCAATAATGTTCTAAACAGGGTTATGGAACACTATCAACAGGAAAAAAAAAGATGCGAAGGTTGGAAATAATCAAGTAGCTACCACAAGGGGTATAATTAGGGATATAATTATCTCCTTACCAAATGACACTAGAAGATCAAGTTCTGCAAAGAAAGGACAAGTTAAAAACCTTACTGCTCAGCCTCAACAAATTTTGCTACCTACAATTTAGTATAATGTTTATAATGCCTTTTAAGAGGCTGAAGCTTCATCTTTCTTTGTCTGCCACAAAAAGCCTCTGCCTTTTATATGCAGTAGCAACCACTTACACTATCTCACTCTCTTCCACTTTGGCAACATGAACCACTACCATCAAAAAGTTTTGATTGTCAGTGGAACATACATTACTCCTGCAATTTTCTTAACCTCACAACAGTATGCGAGCAAAAGGAACTTATTTGAAACAAAGAGGATAAATGTTTTTGTTTTTTTAAACTTACCAAAGCTAGGAATGAGCCAACAAAAGCGAGTTCCATTTAGAGCAAAAGACGTGGCCCAGAACAGTACCAATTTACTGTTTTGAAAAAACAGACTCTCAAGTAGAGTAACATGGATTTTCATTTATACAAAATTTTGCTGAGGGCCCAAGCCTGCTTGTATTCAAAACAGCAGCAGCTTTACTTTCAATTTAAATGGGCACAAGAGGTAGTCCATACAACTTCATTTTCTGTAGTTTTGTTATGCAATGCATTAAGAGTTATATTAACAATAAAATCTTTAAATACCAGCAAAGGAAGAGGGAAAAAATAAGGAAAAACGAATGCATTTTCAATGGAGTTCTGAAACAAAAATGAAAGCCAAAAGGCAGTCACAGAAACATTGTTCAAGGTGGCAGAAGATGTAACAGAAAAGACTCACAATAGTGAGGACACTATCTAAAACTAAAGGAAAGAGATCTTCGCTACACAAATGGAGGGAGAGGAACACAGAGACAAATAAGTTTAGCAAGACAGGCTGGAGCAAGCAAGACCACAGAGGTTTTTGGTTTTGCTTGTAAGAAAAGGGGGATGGTAATTTGAAAAGAATGTCAAAATCAGTTTGCAGTCCAGAAAGAAGAACAGTATGTACTGCATTCACAAATTTACATGGACTGGCAACAAACATGATATTCAGAGGCAGAGCAAACCCCGAAAAAGGATTCACGTACCAAACACTGGAAATTAGGTTTTCTTGATATGTGTCTCCAGATTTATCTAAACTTGAGTTTCCTGAATAAAAGAAAAGCAACTAACATACAGCCTCTCTTCTGTTTTCCTAGTCTCATATATATTGCAGGCGTTTTACAGATCATTCAAACTCTGGATACTCTTAGGACAAGATCCAAGATCCATATTGTCTACATATGCAACTGGAACTAAATCCACTTCCTGCAGAGATTTAGATGCCCTCCACTCATACCCTAGAATGGCACAGGATAACTAAACGTTTTTCTAACAGTGGTCTTCCCTTCAGCAACTGAATTACACACACTGGCATGAACACAGTCTCACAGAATGTCCTGGGTTGGAAAGGACAATAAGACTATCTAGTTCCACACACCAGCCATGGGCAGGGTTGTCACCCACTAGATCATATTGCCATAAGTCCCATGCAGGCTGGGTCTTGAACATCTCCAGTTTCTCTGGGGAATGTGTTCAGTGCCTCACCATCCCAACAGTGAAGAATTCCGTTCTTATATCTAATTTATATCTATTTTCTTTTAGTTTGACACTGTTACTTCTTTTCCTGATAGTGATCCTCACTCCATTTTTTCCTCTAGAGTCCCTTAAAGTATTAGAAGACAGTAATAAGGTATCCCTGGGGGCAATCATATTGCTCAACCTGCTAGCCAACTTCTTTTGATGCAGCCCAGGATATTGGCTTTCTGAGTTGCAAGCATATACTGCTAGCTCATGTTGAGTTTTTCATTTATCAGTTACCCCCACATCCTTCTGCACAGTGCTGCTCCATTCATCAGCCAGTTAGTTCTGATGTTTGGAGACAGCAGCTGCAGCAACCTGGCCTTATTGAACTTCACGAGGTTCGCACAGACCCAACTCTCAAGCCTGTCAAAATTCCTCTAGATGGCATCCCAGCCCTTTGGATGCAATCACTCAGCTGATTTTTTACAAAGTGGCCCATCAAATCCATGTCTCTCCAAATTAGAGATAAGGGTCTCATGTGGGACCATATCAAAGGCTTTGCACAAGTCAAAGTAGATCAGTTCCTCTTTCCTTGTCCACCAGTGCTGTCAATCAGTTGTAGAAGGTCACCAAACTATCTAGACATGATATGCACTTTGTGAATGCTTGCTGTCTACAATCATGCTTTCCGTATGTATTAAAATGGTTTCCAGGAGGATCTGCTCCATGATCTTACTGTGTGCAAAGATGAAGAAGACTGGTCTATTGAAGATGACTGGTCTGTTGCTCCACAGGTCCTCCTTTTTACCATTTTTAAACATGGCTGTTACACTTCTCCTTTTCCAGCCGGATTTCATACCTTTTCAAATATGAAGGAGAATGTTTAGCAACTTAATCTGCAAGTTCCCCTAAGTTTCTGGGATGCATCTCATTGGGTCTAATGGAATTGTGCATATTCAGGTTCCTCACATGGTCTCAGAGCATCATACGGTGGGTAGGACTTAATTTCCCCAGTTCCTACTTCTAGACTTGGGAGGTATAGTAGGAGCAAATGCTGGTTAAGACTGTGGCCAAAAAGTTGTTGAATATGTTAGCTTTCTCCATGTCAGCTGTAGCCAAGTTCCCTGTCTCATTCATCAGAGGTTACGATTTCTTATGTCTTCCTTTTCTGTGTTCTATACCTGCAGAAACCCTTCCTGGTATTCTTCACATTCCTAGTCAAGTTTCACTCTTGCTGTGCCTTGCCTTTCCCTGTCCCAACCCCAAACCCTAAATAGGTTGTGTCCTTACAAACTTTTCATGTAGACCACTGCTTCCACTGTCTGTGCATTTCTATTTTGTATTTTAATTTCTTTAAGAGGTCCTAACTCAGCCATGTAAATGAGATCACACTGTAAGGAAAATAAGAGAGCTCTCTCTATAACGTGTTCACTGATCTATGATTGAAATGGTCTTCATGTATGCAACACTTCTCTACAGCAACAACCATGAAGTACTGTTTCAAACAGAGTTTAACTCTCACTGCTAGGGTTGCCTCCTGCCTACCTCTTTTCTCCCATAACTTCCTTTCTTTAACTTTCTTCAGACTGATGTGATTTGTTTCATTTTCCATTGTTTATATCCTCACTATGCACTGGAACGACAAGCTCCACTCTGTTCCTTTCCCCCCCCCTTCTTTCTCCTGACCATCCTCTGCTTATCAGTGGCTTCCTTGTAGACAGCACCACCTCTAGGATAAGAGAAAGTAGTACAGATCAAATGGGAAGATTCCTCTCTCTAATGAAGTTCATAGCATTTTGTAACCATGAAAATTTTTTCAGACTAAGCA